AACTCCCAATTAGGAAGGCCAAATCCTCCTCTAGTTCTAGCATCTTGTAGAAGTTTTAATTTTATTCTGGCTTTCTTACCTTGCCATATAAACTTCAACACAATTTTATTTAATTCTTCAAAATAATCTTTGCCAAGCCTGATTGGTATGGTTTGGAACAAATATAAAATTCTGGGTAAAATATTCATCTTGATTGTTGAAATTCTACCTATCAATGACAATTGTAGGTTTTCCCATTTCTTCAAATCAGATGCTATCTGTTGTTTAAGTTTAATATAGTTATTCTCTTTCAATGTAGTGCATCTTGACGTCAAATGTATCCCAAAATATTTAACCTTATTCGTAACTTGAATTTTCAATAAATCTGCCAGTTCATCTCTTTGTTTTAGTAATATATTCTTTGTCAAGATCTTTGTTTTATCTTTGTTTATTTTCAAACCCACCATCTCACCATACATCTCTATCTTTTCCAGTAGCTTTAAAGCTGTTCCTAGAGGATCTTCCAAAATAAAAACCAAATCATCCATGAAGGCTTGCATTTTAAATTCCTCCTTCTTAATTTTCATTCCTTTTATATTTGGATCCTCTCTAATGTTTCTATTCAGCACTTCCAAAGTCAATACAAATAACAAAGGTGATAATGGGCAACCTTGTCTTGGGCCTTTTCTTATATTAATAGAGTCTGTAAAATCTCCCTCTATCATTACTTTTGCCGTTTGTTTATCATATATGGCTTCTATTGCTTATCCAGGATGCCTTTTTATCCAGGAGTCTATGCAGGGGTTCCGTGACAGTTGCTTTCTGGGGTAGGAAACTATTATAGAAATTAATGAGTCCAAGGAATGCTTGGAGGTCCATTTTATTTTTCGGCTGGGGAGCTTCTTTGATGCCTTTTAATTTTTTGTCAGTAGGGTGAATTCCATGCTTGTCTAGGAGGTATCTGAGGAATTCAACCCTTTCAATACATAATTGGCACTTCTCTTTTTTTACTTTGAGGCTGGAGTCTTTAAATTTTTGTAGGACTGCTCTCAGTCGTTTCTCCAATTGTTTTTTATTGGGGGCTGCTACTAATACGCCATCGAAATAGGGTACGACTCCTTTAATTCCTTGCAACAGCCTTTCCATTAGGCTTTGGAAAACCCCAGGTGCGACGCTGACTCCAAATTGGAGTTGGTTGCATTTAAATGCCCCTCGATGTGTCATGATTGTTTGAGCCTCAGCGGTTTCAGCATCGACCAGTAGTTGTTGATAGGCTTGTGCCAGGTCGAGCTTTGCAAAAATTCTGCCACCCCCCAGTGAGTGTAGGAGATGTTGGACTACTGGCACAGGGTAGGCACTCTGCTGCAGGGCATGGTTGAGGGTGGCCTTGTAGTCTCCACAAATTCTCAGGGAGCCATCTGGTTTGATGGGGGTGACAATTGGTGTTTCCCAACGGGCATGGTCGATAGGTTCTAATGCGCCTTGTGCTATGAGCTTATTTAATTGCTCATCTATTTTAGGCTTGAGTGCAAATGGCACTCAGCACGGTTTGAGGCAGATGGGAGCGATGTCAGGGCTAAGATTAAAGGAGATTGGGGACCCCTTGTACTTGCCTAAGGTATCACCAAAGACCTCTTGGAAGTCCCTTACGAGTGTCGCTTCCCAGTCTTCGTCATCTGTGTGGTTGATGCCTGCCATCTCGATCCCCAGCGGTGTGAACCATTGCAGCCTGAGTAGGCTGGGGCAGTCCTTATCAACAATTATGAGTGGTAAAATGTTGGTACGGTTTTTGAAAGAGATGCCAGCTACTGGGATACGGTTCCCTTGATAATCTCTTAAAATCAATTTCTGGTCGCTTAGTTCTTGGCGGCGTATGCTGGGTATTAAACGCTTTATGGTCCGCCAGGAGACCATAGAGAGGTAGGAGTCAGAATCTACTTCCATGGTGCATGGTTGGTTTTCGATACCAACCTCAATGCATATCTTCCATGCGTCTATTGATGAAGCGTGGCCGATGGTAACTGTTTGGTGCGTTTCTTCTCTTCGTAGTGCATCGTTGAACTTCTTGGTTTGGCTGTCCCGGCTCCATCGGCTGTTAGTCTGGCAGTCCCAGTTTTTGGTGGGGGTGCCATTTTGTCTTCTCGGGCTGTTTCCCCAATGCCGGGGGCTGAAATTTCTTTTATTGCAGCATACTTTAGTGATATGCCCTCGCTTCTCGCAAAATCAGCAAACAGCGTCCAGGAACTTGCATTCGGAACGCGGGTGATTTCCTCCGCAGCCGGCACATTGGTACCCTGACTTACGACCTCGCCGGTCTCGCCAATCACGTTCCCACTGAAGTCTGTGAATTTTTTCTTCTTCACTGTCAGAAGGGGATTCGATGTTGCCATGGTGGGTGGTGGCTGCGAGCTTTTCTGGTGTGGTAGTTGCCTCGCTGGTTGATTGGCGATCGGTTCTGTTTGGACACTGCATTCGGACCGCTGATTTACGGGTAGCTTCGGCTGCGGTGGCTTCAGCTATGGCCATCGGTGAGGGAGATGTCACCCTTGGCCATCAGCCTGCTTTGGAGTGCTGGGTCTTTAGGCTGACCCGGTCACGCATGGCCTCGTCCAAGTTAGTGAATCCGCACAAGCCCCCAAGGTCCCTCAGGTCGGCTACGAACTCACCGATGCTCTCACCCTCGCGCTGATCTCTTTGATAGAAATTGTGCCTTCGGATAAGAATTGGTACAGCCGGAGCATAGTGGTTTTGGAGGATGGGAGCTAGGTTTTCCCAATCCATTGTCTTGACATCTGCGGGCTTTGCTAGTGCCTTGGCCATTTTGAAAACTGCGGGCCCGCAGTGCGTTAAAAATATACCGCTCGCTTCTTGCTGCCGGTAGCGTCTTTTAAGTTGTTGGATTCCAAAAACATTTGGAAACGATCAGTGTAGGACTCCCAGTCCTCGCTGGCTGGGTTGAATGGTGCGGGTGGCACAGCGCTGCTGGCCATTTCACTGGTCGTCTCTGCGCTGTTTGCCATGTGCTGGTTAGCCTTGTTGTCTCAGAATCCCATCTTCGTCGCCAGTGTTAAGTACAGCCGGTGGGTCCCATGGATCAACGAGGCTTGAGTAGTGAACAACAGCTCTTTATTAAGCAGATAGATTCTGAGACAACAACCCTAGCCACGGCAGCTCTTTTTATAGAGCTGGCCGCAGCTAGGCAGCCAATGACAGATTTTAGAGCTTGCCGCACTTGGTTTTACCCAATTGCGGCAAACCCCATACGAGCCAATCAATAGTGCTTTACAGCGTCCAATCACAGCCTGGCTTTTCTGGACCAATAGGAATGCAGGTCTTCAAGCCTGCTAGTAGGGAACAGTTAGTTAGTTATTTATTAGATTTTTATGCCTCCTTTATTACTTTATAAGTAACTTGAGGTCCGAATACCAGTTATCCTTGACTTAAGACAATTGAGACCAGAAGCAAGATGGTTAAACAAGTTGCAAGCAATTTGACTTTTTTTTTTACCATGGTTGTTAAATGAATCATATGGTTGTTAAGCAAATCCAGCTTCCCTGATTGACTGTTTGTCAAATTGGATGAGAAGGTCCCAACTTGTGACCACATGACTCCAGGACGCTGTATCCATCATAAATACACCAGTTGCTAAGTGCAATTTTGATCACATGACTGCAGAGATGTTTCAATGGTCATAAAAGTGGACCTGTTGTAATTAACTTTTTTCATTGCTGTTGTAAGTTTGAACCATTGTTACATGAATGGTTATAAGTTTAGACTATCTGTACTCCTCTTTCCTCTTATTTTTCCTACAACAGTAGCCCCATGAGGTAGGTTGAGAGAGTAACTAACTCAGTCAGCTTTTATACCAGACCAGAACTCACAGCCTCATTGTTTTTAGGTCAGCATCTTAACTCCTACACAAAATTGGTTCTGTTTTTAAAATTCTTTATTTAAAATGGTTGTATTTTTTTATAGACCGATACTGGCTATAGGACAAAAAATAAAAAAAAAATGTTTTAAATCTAGCTTTTGAGTAAATTCATCTGTTCAAACATCTTGTTTAAATTATTGGCACTCTTTCTGAATGTGGAGTAATCATGCTAATTGGCGCTATACTATTGTAACAATTAGTAAACAAGTGAAAGTGAAGCATCTGAAAATCTTGGTTTTTCCTCTTTTTTCAAATAGCAGAGGACTAAAAATCTAGAAATGCAGACTCTAGTTATAATATTGATGTAACTATCTGACACAAGGAATGATAAAATGTACAATGAGGCATCACTGTGAAAATAATGCAAATTATATAATTCATGACTTCATGTGACATAGTCATCCCCTTTTCTGCCATACAGACATCATGCAGACACCCATGACTTAAGTCAGGAGAAGGAATTCAATCAAGAACTTTGATAGCCATGTGAACTTTGTCCAGCCTCTCTCTTACTAGAAGTAAAGCTGTACTTCAGGGAGTCTTTTTACTTTTTTAGAGAGAATGTGAGAGGAATATGTACATTGTCTTATTCTCCTTGAAAGAATGACAGGTTAAGCATATAATATGAAAATATTTTAGTATTTTATGCTATGACTGTTGCATGGAATTTATTTACTATTAGAACCAAACAGTTAGAGCCTTTAAGAACTATGGTATGTTGTATTTTTCATCCCAGTCATATGTGCTATTTGATCATTTTTTGGTCATTTATCATTTTGCTAATAATGCCACACTAAATAATTATGCAGAGCTTCAATAGTAACAGAAAAAAAATATCCCTGAAACTTACATTAGAATTGTATTAAAAATTAACCTCCAAAAGCTTTCTGGTCTCTGTTTCTGCCCTTTCAAACTGAGCCTAGCTGAAGTAAAGTTCAGTTTTACTTTTAAATGTTTTCTGTCCTCCTGTTTCTGTTTAACATTCCATTGGGCACCTCTGTGAATTACCAGATGATACTTAATAACTTGATTCCTTCCATGGCTCCCTCAGTGTCTTATTATTCAACATATTATTTTGGCTTTCTTCTAGGGAGAACTAGAAAAGTTGAATCAATCTACAGACGATATCAATCGGAGAGAAATGGAGCTTGAGGTACACTTTTTCCTTGCTGTTTATCTAAACATCCAACTATATTTCTTTTATTTACTACATTTCAACTGGAAAATATTTATTTAGATTATTGCAGAAGAAACTAATGAAAACGTTTGTATGGATTAAGTTAGTGAATGAAGGAAAAGAAAGTCAACTATGCCCATCTCTGATATGAAATTGGATGAAACATTCTATCCATAGTATCATGGATTTCATTAATCTACTTTATTATTCTTACACCAACCAAAAATCATGCTTAGGAATCCAAGCGGCAAGTAAGGTTGTTTTAAAATATTGTTTTATTTTCTTAAGGTACAAAACGTACTTTTTCTTAAGGTACAAAAAAATAGAAAAAAGCAGAAAAGCAAACTTATAAATAGAATTCATTTACAGCAAAACTACATAGACTATTAAAAATAAAAACATTAAAACATATATAAAAATACAGTAGTAACAAAATTATTGTATTTCAAAATTCCTAAAAACAACATAAAATAATGTAGCTCTGCTTTCAAAAATGTTAATTTGAGACCACATGAAAAAATATTTTCTGATCTTTCTTTTCTGTGAATATGAAGCCACACAAAGCTTATGTTATACCAGAGCAATTGTAAATTATATTTGGACATAATAATTCAGAATTCTTAATTTACTATGAACTAGCAAGGTGGTGGGTGACTCAGCCTCTCCCTTCCCATTTTTTGTGTGCAATGATAATGATTTCAGACAGCTATAATATATAAATTCCAAAATCTCTGATTAGGTTGGCCAAACGAGAATGGGACTATAAACCAATAATAATTAAGAAACCTTGCTTTTTTCTGAATCTGGTTTATTTTTTACAGCAAAAAAAATAACAAAAACAAAACCATGAGTCGGGTTGTCAAACACTTTCTCTGTATCACCCATATCAGTAGATATAATACAATTAGCCACATTCATCAACCTGCTGCTTTTTCATAGTAACTTAAGATAATAAAAAAATAATACAATTATTAGAGATGACACTTAGATTTGATAGCCTAGCATTTTTAGATTTTTACATCCAAATGTGAAGGCACATAATGAAATATTTTATTGGAGAAGATATAGCTTCCATAAAAGAAAAATGCTATTTGTTTGGCATTAGTTTTTGGGGTACTACATTATATTTAATCAGTTCCAAGCAAACCACATGTTGCCTTAATGTGAAGGATAACCAGACTATTTCAGATCATTTTTCTGACCCCTTTCATATAAGACAGTATGATTTATACCTTGTTTCATATGTATCTGTTTGGAAAAGGCTAAATTGTGTTTGCCTAACAGTAACTTCCTGTACCTTCACATTTAAACCTCTGCCCTTTAGTTGATCATAGCCAGCTTCAGATCAAAATTCAGAGTCGTGGCAAAGGAGAAGCAGCTATTCTGGGAAACTACAGTTGTGTCAACCAGGCAATCTCTGCTAGGATCTCTGTATGTTAATGTGTGCAAAGGGCAGCGAGGGATACATCCAACTTTACTGGCTGGTGCTTTGCATATATAGCTTTTTGAATCAGGCAAGAGTGTTAGGAAGCATTCACCTACATTTCAGTGTATGCCAGTAAGGGTGTTTGATCAGTGGGGTGTTTATGGAAATTAATAGTCAGAGGTAATATAGCTGAATAAATATTTTATTTAATAACTTTATTGATAGCAAAGTATGTTCAGAACTTCCATGGGGATAAGGAGAGGATTGGGGATAGAAATAAAGATTATTCCATTCCTTCTTCACTAGATTGTTTTATTTTCTGTACTGAGTCCAGAGGAAGGAAAAACTAAACTTAGTATGTTTTAGTTATACATGGATGGAGGGAACTTCCCAGGCTGGAACATTGGATGAAGATTAGTATAGATATGGAAAGGGATCTGGAGACAAGTCCTATAAAGAAAAAGATTGTAAGTGTTTGGTATAAATAGTAATAATGACAAACCATGAACATGAAGTAATAATGACAATATATGAACATGAAATGATAATATGATACCCAACTTCAAGAAGTTACACACAGAAGAAGCTTGTAATATTTGTTCATGTTACAAGCTTTTAATTAAACAATAAAAAACTTCAAATCTGATGAGTTCTTATATATAGAACAGATTATTTTTAACCCACTACAAGATTCTCAAGAAAATGTTAACTTTATTGTCTTTATTTTATGCTTACCTGTTGGAATACTGTAGAAGTGCACATCCTGTGTGGGTAGGAGTTTGGACTAGATCAGTGGTTCCCAAACTTTTTCAGTCCACCGCCCCCTTGGTGCTACAAACTCATCCTCGGTGCCTCCCACCCAGGGGTGGGATTCAAATTTCTGTGGGTGTGGCCTAATTTGAGGGTGTGGCTTGCTGGTCACGTGACTGGGTGGGCATGGCTTGCTGGTCATGTGACTGGGTGGGCGTGGCTTGCTGGTCACATCACTGGCCGGCGTGGCTTGCTGGCTGGGCATGGCTTGCTGGTCACATGACTGGGTAGGTATGGTTTGGTGGTCATGTGACTGGGTGGGCGTGGCCAGGTGATTGGCAAACAAGTGGTCCTCACTTAATGGCCAGTTGTTTAGCAAGTGTTGTAATTTATGACTGGCCTGCCCAGAGATACTTGACCTGTTTTTTGGAGTTTTGGCAGCCATGCACACACACACACACACACACACTCCCTTCTAACCCTTCTAACCCTGCTAGAGCAGGTCATTGGACTAGAATCAGCAAAGCATCTCTTTTTTTTTTTTTTTATTGTTTTTTGACATACAAACAAACAGACAAAACATAAAAACATCAGCTCCCCCATATTTATATACAAACAGTGAGTCGGTTGGTTCATCAATTTTGTGCACTCCTCTCATAGTCACAATTACAATTACCTTGTATAATAACTCTTATTGTCAATACAAACTTATAAATCATAATATCACTATTAAAAAAAAGAAATTTGACTAAACTTTTGTTCGATCATGCCTTTGTGAGATAACTATATTTTAAGTAATTTATTCTAAAACAAATCATATAATCGTGCCAATTCTATCCTAAATAAGAGAAAAAAAGGAAACAGAAAACTATTATATAAATATAATATCCAGTACCAAAAAAGAGAAAAGAAAAATAAAATCAATATTATTCCTTATTATCTAACATTTCTATTTTTGTATTTCATCATTCAACCATTGATAGAAAAGATCCCAAACTATATAAAATTGTTTATCTTCTTGCTCTCTGATTTCAAAAGTCAATCTACTCATCTCAGCACATTCCAATATTTTCTTTATGACTTCTTCCTGCAATGGAATTTTCTCATTTTTCCAATTTTTTGCAAATACAATCCTAGCCGCAGTCAATACATTTACAATCAAGTATTTCAACTCTTTACTATAGACATCTGGTAAGATTCCCAATAAAAAAAGCTCCGGTTTCAAGTCTATGTGCTTCTTAGTCATTTTTTCCAACCACATGTGGATTTTAGTCCAATATTTTCTAGCGTCCTCACAAGTCCACCACATATGGTAGTATGAACCAGGTTTCTGATGACATTTCCAGCATTTTTTGGATTTGTTCTTGAACATTCTTGCTATCCTTGTCGGGGGAAAATGCCACCTGTAAAACATCTTATACAAATTTTCTTTAAAGGCTGTAGACATTGTCATTTTATAATTTTGCAACCATAATTTTTGCCATTTCTCTAAGTCAATCCCATATCCAAAATTCCTCCCCCAAGCAATCATAGTTTCTTTAACTTGTTCTTCCTCCAGCTTAATTTCCAATAAGTAACCATATAATTTTTTAATCACCTTTTCATCAGTACCCATCAAAATCTTATCTAAATCAGTTTGTTCATCATAAAATCCCTCTGCTTTGGAATCCTCATAATACTTTGAATGTATTTGCAGATATGAAAACCAATTCATCTGTATACCTTGTTCCTCTAATTTTTTCATCGATTTAAGTTCACCCTTTTCATCTAGTAATTCCCCATAGCTAACTGTTTGTTCCTTTTTATAGATTATAGGATAAGAAAACGCTTCTATCGTCGATAACCAAACTGGAATTTTCAAATAACATTGTTTTCTTGTCTTCTCCCAATTTAACCACAGAGACTCCCGTATATAATGTCTTCTAAAATACCCCTGTGTTTTGGTTCCCTTATACCATAAAAAAGCATGCCAACCCAACAACAAATCATGACCTTCTAATGTCAACAATCTAGTTTTCCTTAATGTTATCCATTCTTTAACCCACATCAAGTTTGCAGCTTGGTAGTACAACTCCCAATTAGGCAGGCCAAACCCTCCTCTAAATCTAGCATCCTGTAAAAGCTTTAACTTTATCCTTGCTTTCTTGCCTTGCCATATATATTTCAAAACAATTTTATTTAAATCCTCAAAATATTCTTTTCCAAGCCTAATTGGTATTGTTTGAAACAAAAATAAAATTCTGGGTAGAATGTTCATCTTAATTGTTGAAATCCTTCCTATTAATGACAATTGTAGGTTTTCCCATTTTTTCAAGTCTTGAGCTATCTGTTGTTTAAGTTTAATATAATTGTTCTCCTTTAATGTACTACATCTCGACGTCAAGTATATCCCCAAATACTTAACCTTATTTGTAACTTGAATTTTTAACAATTCTGCCAGTTCTTCTCTTTGTCTCAGCAACATATTCTTTGACAAAATCTTTGTTTTATCTTTGTTTATTTTCAGACCGGCCACCTCCCCATATGCCTCTATCTTTTCCAACAGCTTCAAGGCTGTTTCTATAGGATCTTCCAGGATAAAGACTAGGTCATCTGCAAAAGCTTGTAATTTAAATTCTTCCTTTTTAATTTTCATTCCTTTTATAGTTTTATCTTCTCTGATATTTCTATTCAACACTTCCAAAGTCAATACAAATAACAAGGGAGAAAGAGGGCAACCTTGTCTTGTGCCTTTTCTTATATTAATAGGATCTGTGAGTTCTCCCTCCATCATTACCTTAGCTGTTTGTTCATTGTAAAT